GAGGAAAGTTGTAAAATACCAAAAATATCCTTGCATTAAAATTTTAATTCAAAATTGCCAAAATTATAAATTTCCTAATTTATTTATTGATTTGTGGTTAATATTAGTTCTCACAGTTACCACATACTAATTAGTTCTCATTTGATTAGTCCCCTATATATATATATATATATATATATATATATATGTATGATCAAATGCAAACCACCCAATTTGTACAAGTCGTGCAAACCACTCTCATCCGTTGATTTCATTGTTTAATCTTATGAAATTTTTTCATAAAATGGTTTAATCTTGTGAAATTGTTTCATATAATACTTTTTTTTTTTTGATGAATTTGTTTCATATATGGTTATGAAACTGTTTCATATAATATTTAATGAAACTGTTTCATATAATATTTAATGAAACTGTTTCATGTATTTCTCTAAAATTAAAATAATGAGATGATAATACCCATGATTAACACCTTTTACAATAAAAATGATTAATCAACCTCTCATTATTACAAAAAAATGAACAAAATGAAAAATTATGATTGGTTGATTGAGGTTGAAACGGTTTGTACAAGTTGAGTGGTTTGCATTTGATCGCTCCTCTCTCATTCTCTCTCTCTCTCTCTCTCTCTCTCTCTCTCTCTCTATATATATATATATATATACACACACACACATATGTAACACATGCCAAACCGTTGTCGGTTATGTTCTTTATATTGGAAGAAGTCATACAGGGTTTTTTGGTGGGTTTGTTGGAATTCTACGCTACATTTAGGAGTTTGAGTCTCACTGATTTAATTAGTACGAACATACCTACCGAATTTCAATGGAATCAAGATTTAGAAAAGGATGTTTTCCAAACATTACATGTAGCATCTAAAACGTGTTCATTTGGTTGCAACACCAAAAAGACGAAAACCATATCAAATGGGTGATTTTTTATGGGGTGGAGTACGAAGGTCCAGTGGGGTCATGTGTACCCACTCAATTGACTTTTACAAGTATAATTCTTTTTGTGGTATGAAATGTACACACAATAAACTTTGGGAGGTGCTTTGTGATATTAGAAAATACAAGGGACGTCAACCAAAAAACTGAAAAAGTCTTCTAAATCAACCAAAAAACTTAAAAATCCCTTGAAACTGGGAGTGCACAAAAACCCGACCAACCCGGCTGACCCAACCCAACACAATGCGAAATAACTCAACACAAAGCAACCCGAGGTCTAATCAAGTTGTAAAATCTTCAAACTTTAGGTATTGGGTTGGAATCGGGTTGCGGTCATTTGAACTCAACCCAACCCAATGAACCTGATATCTTTTTATTTGTTGGGTTTAATATGATTTTTCTTATAAATATGTACATTAGACAATTACATTAACACATACCCTCTTCGTATACATATATTTTCAATTTCTTTCACCATCTTTGTACAATTCATTCGTTTATATGTTCAGTAAATGTGAACATTTATATGCAAATTGAGAAAAGTAATTGAATTGAAATACTTAAAAAAGAGTATGGGGTATGTTGTACCAAATGTATGATGATGAGAAATAAATTATGAGTAAAGAAAACAACATATCCAAGGTAACAAGCATAAGAGAATATTTTGATGCACCAAAGTATCAACCCAACCAACCCGTACGGTTTGGGTTGGGTTAGGTTGTACTTTGATTTGGGTTGGATTGGGTTGGGTTGGATTGGGTTGGGTTGAGATTTTTCAAACGTAAACATTAGGTTTTGTTGTTCAAATGCCCCCAACTCAACCCAACCCATAAGCATCCATACTTGAAACTATGGAATTCGTTTAAATAGGCATTGAGAAATTTTACGAGCAGTTGAATCCACTTTAAAGGTACACCCACTAAACAAAAATCTTGGGTCCACCACTGACACATATCGTAATTTAATAGGGTTGCAGAAACATGGGATCTTGCATTAGGTCTTTAAATTACAATTAAGAAGTTTTAATCACATCATCAAACTTATAACATTTAAATAGAGATGAAGAAACCAGTTAAATGGACGAACACTTAACTCAGTTCCTTTCCTAATCAGTCCCATACAAAATAACTGTAACTACTGGTAATTGATTGGATCCGTCCAGACTAGTCAAATTTTTTATCTGTATATTATTTTAACCATTACTTTTTATATCTTTTATTTATAGTGTAATTTTTATTATTACATAATTTTATATGTTTTATTTAGTTTTAAAGTCTTTAATATAACATAAATTAAAAATATATGGTAAAATATATAAACTACTATTTTATTTATTTGATTTTAGTTTATAAATACAAAAAATCTAAAACTCATACAAATTGTTCAAAAATATAAATATTAAATAGATGAAAATTAAGAATTGCTTGCAACTACCAAACCTCATCTTGTGGTTCCATATTGACATGGATGTTTTGGTTATAAATAGATATTAATGGGAATTAATATAAAAGAAATTGTAAACAGATATTAATATAAAAGAAATTGTTTGGTTTATATAATACAATAAGGGTACTTATGCAATGCTGCGAGATGCATCTCGATTTTAATGTTTCGTTTTATTATTTGTCTCTATTTATGTTATAATACAATGTTATGCGGTTTAAGAAAGCGACATTGTTTCTATTTTTGAAAAAAATATAAAATTGAAAATATCATAAAATTTTGATATATATATATATATATATATATATATATATATATCAATATTAGGATCAAATTAATTAGTTAAAAGTTACCATTTTTTTGTTTTTTTTAAACTCAAAATTTTTATTATAATTTAATTTAAGTTTAATAACGATGTTTTTTTATTTTTGATTAAGAATCTAATTTTTTATATATAAAAAGAATAATTAAGTATTCTATTGGAACTTAATGTTTATTCTAATTATATTTTAGATTTTTTATATTTAAAATGATATGTTTATCATTTAATTGTGTTTATCATTTAATTATGTTTATCTACAGTTGGTTACACAAATTCAAACATGGAGTTTTAATAAGTTGTACTTATATACAATTTACTTGTAATATTAAATTTTAAGTAATATACATCAATAAACAATATTTTATGCATAAAAAATGGTTTCAGGTTAAACTGGTGGGAATAAAAATTCATTTTCATTCTTATTTCCATTCCTCTACATGAACCAAACAACCTCTAAGTCTCATTTTTAATCTTCGCCCTCCAGTAGTGGAGTTTTGAAATATTGATTTCCTTCTTTGTCAGGTATATCGTCATGAACGTAGAAAACTTCATTCTGCAGTAATTGTGTGCTTTGTATGCAGTCGTAGTTATCCAAGTAACCATTGGACCAAATCGTGTTTGTGTCGAATCCATGCTCCTCAACGCTACACAAGGCTTTTCTATGTCCGCAATTTTTTATACACCGCCTTTCTTTACCCATTAGACAAAGTTGCCAGACTGTAATTTTATCAAACCGTGGCCTTTCGGTTATGGTCGAAAATTACTTCGGTAACGAATTTAGGAACAGAAGACCTAAATTCTTAATATTTTAATAATACTAGAAAGGTACCCGCACAATGCAGCGAGATACATCTTGATTTTAATGTTTCGTTTTTCTTGTCTTAGTTGACGTTATAATACAGTTTTATGTGGTTTTGAGAAAACGATAATATTTTTATTTTTGAATAAAATATAAATATGAAGATACATCAAAAAAAATTTGAAAAAAAGTTATTGATATCAACATCAAACTAACTATTACAATTTCACTTTTTATTGTGATTTTTTTAATTCATTATTTTATTTTTGGTTTAATAATATAACTTTTTACAAAGATGATAATTAAATAGTTTGTTAGAATTCAATAATTATTCTAATTATATTTTAGATTTTTTATATTTAAAATAAGATATTTATCCTCTATTTGATTATGTTTATCCTTAGTTAGTTACACGAATTCAAACATGAAGCTTTAATAAATTGTACTTACGTGCAACTACTTGTAATCTTGAATTTTAAGTAATATGCATCAATACACAATACTTCATAGTTGGATGTAATTTTTTTTAGAGGTTTTAAATTTTGATATTCTATTTTAGAAAAATTATAACATAATTGTTAGACTGTTACATTGCATCACACTTATAAAATACTAACAAATGTAAACTAAAAACAAAGAACCAGTTATATCTCAATCTATTTGTTTGTGTGAAAGTTGAAGCAGTTGTTTTGAATTAACGAAACAGCCACAGGATAGATTACAAAACCTTTTACTTGCATGTCTTTCCCCAATAAGCCTGCTGATAAGTCACCTTGGAACAGATAAACCCAGTTCTAGTTCAAACAAAAAGAATCCCATATCAGATATATATATATATACATACATCAATACTAGTAGCTTCTGTTCAGCCATCAATTCAAAAACAGATCTGAATTACTTCTAATGCAATCAGTAAATGCAATATATATATATATATATATATATATGATCAATCGGGTAGAGTTCCCAAGCCCATGTCAAGAAAAAGCATAACGTTAACCACAAGGTGGTGCCTGATTGGTTTGAGCTTGGCTCCAAAGGTCAAAAGTACCAGGAGAGCCCAAGTTCAAATCCAAGGAGAAACAAAAATCCCCTTGTGGCCACGGAGGTTCAAATGCGGTGACTCCGGGCTATCTGCAAAGTAGATGGTCGCCCTGGGATTAGTCAGCTCGCATAACGGGTTGGATATCCAGGTTAATAAAAAAAAAGCACGTCGACATGTTCCATCAAACTCATCTGGGAAAACGAAAAGTGACGATGTTACTTACTGTAAGACCCTACTTCAAACTATATGCAGAAAGTTGATCTCAAACTATTTATACCACAAACAAAAACGTCTTTAGATCTGATCAGTTCCTTAATTTTGGAAGTATTAATATACATACATACATACATATATATATATAGCAAAACTCAAACACACACTCCTGACATTTGGTAAGGACTGAACGCTTGACGTCTAGAAAGGTTGGGATATACGGATAACTCGGATACCGTTGGGCAAATGGCCCTTTGGTAGTTCCTTAGCATACTTGATGTTCTGCAAAAGCCATAAGCTACTAGATTTACTGACCAAATTCTAGGAGGTCAACTATTTCAGTTGTATATCCAGCTAAACAGTTTTCATACATAACATAGAGGTCACACTTGGAAAGGGTGGAAAATTAGCTATTGAATTCAAGTGAAAAAAGAGTGAACCTATCTTTTTAATCGGCCACGTTATAAATACCTTCTGGGGAGGTCGGGATTCCACGTGCCCCATGCTACTCTTACTGTCTAATAATTGTGATATCTCTAGACAGCATGTGAGCTGGCTCTTCAAAAGTGTGATCAAAGCCAAGCTCAAGCCAAATCAGCTTGTTTGACTTTGACGATACAAGCCAAGCTCAAGCCTTGATGGCTTGAGCTTGGCAAGTGGCAACTGACAAGCCTAAATGAACTGAGCTAACCAAGGTTGATATTTCTAACTATTATTTCTTTCTATGAGGTTTTCATGGTAATTTTGTATGAAGAGTCTAAGTTTACTTTATACAAGTTGAGCCAAGGCTCACGCTTATACAGACTTATAGGATGGTTATGGCTGCAAACGAGCGGAGACGAGCTCGGAAGGGCTCGGGCTCGACTCCACAGTGTTAAGCTACACTGGGACTTGATCCAATGGCTTGATGAGTCTTGTTGATGTAGGCTCGAGAAAAGATTCGAGCTTGATTTGAGAGCTCGAATAGCTCGAAACAATCCATCCCAACTATGCTCAAAGAAGCAAGCTTGATTCAAAAAGGTTGAATAGCTTGATAATATGTACGAAAACTATGTTCAGTAAAGCACTTTCAGTTTGAGCTCGACCTAAAAATACTAGCACATATATAGAGCTCGAAAAGCATGACAAGAATTCGAGTCAAGATCTTATAAACTCAAACTCAACTCGTTATCTATTTCGAGCAGAACTCTGCATTCAAACTCTAAGTCGAACTTGATAAAGTTCTACTTGTTCAAGCTTGAATTGAGGTCGAACTTGAATCACTTGATAAAAGTTCGACTCCTTTGCAGCCCTAACTCCTTAGATGGCATCCTCTGCAATAGAGATACGATTGTGTTCTCCAATTCCTTATTGGTTTAGCATAGCACAAAAATAAGTATGAATCGAATAGATCAACAACCAAACAAACTATCATGAAAGAAGTTAACTAGGAAAATTGATAGGTTTGATAGTCGATTCAATGGATGTCGGTATGATAAACCCATGGGGTTTCTTAATTCTTCTTTTCCCAAAAAAAGCAAAGGAATCATATGAAAAATACCAATAAAATTCCTTATCAGGTTCTAAAAACAAAGATTAATGGCGCTTGCAATTAATCATCCTTCTCTTTATCTCCTTATAAACCTAATGCTTTTAAGATGGTTAACATAACTTTCATACTTGGTATGATGACAGGTCTTGCAAATCCCATTTCCTCTGTTTCAAGCAGTGGAAAACTCATGTGCCTGCATGAACCAAATTCCAGTCAGATATCTGATCAATGCATTCTCACTCTGAAAAACAGCCTAAGATCTAAAGCAGGTGGGTTTCCTAAGAGTTCATACGATAATGAAAATCTTCGACAAAGGAGAATCAACTTATCTTTCATAAACCTCGAAGTTCAGATAATTATGCTGGTAATATGCTCAAGATTGAGAACATATGATTCCAAGCTATCATCAACTTCCCCTTGCAGAAGATCCAACAATGAGGATATCCCTTAAGAACTCAATCCTACATAGTTAGATTGAACTAGCCATAGAATCATTATAACCATTGGGCAGACTCACTCTATTATAATCCCACCCCTAATACTCTCATTATAATGTATATGGGTCTATTCGCACATCAGGTCCTATATAGATTTCTTGACAGTTGAATAAATTCATCCACATTCTAAGGGGCTGTTTGGTTCAGG